TCATGATGATGATGTTGTTGTTGTTAGTTAGTTATGATGATGATGACGACGATGGTATTTTGTTGTGACTTACGGATTTATTATTGCGTGTAGAATAAGATGGCGAAGGCATATTTATTACCATTAATAACAATCAGATAAAAGCATATGAATACGCAAACAGACATATACACACACACATACATACACACACATATAACATACATACATACTCACACATACATACATACATATATACATACACACACGCACGCACATACACACACAAACAGCCCAAAGTCCAATATGGAAGCCTGGGTCTACTGAAGAAAGTTCAAAAAACAGTAGAGACATTTTCGAAGGTCGGAAAACAATAAAAATAATAATAAAAAATACATAACAATAATTAATAATAACAATATATTATGTTAATTATATTTATTATTATTACTATTGGTATTATTCAGAACTGAATAAGACCCTTGACGACAAAGATTGTGAGATCCGTAAGTTGGCAGACAACCGAGTTGTGAGCTATTACACTGGTTAATAAAATATCATTATTATATTATTATTATTAAATGTTATTATTATTAAACATTATTATTATTATTAAATATTATCATTATTATTGTTGTTGTTGTTTTTATCAGGTCTTGTAGAGCAGTGTCTGGAAAGGCATCAAAATCAAAATCAAAGGCGCCGGGACATTATTTCGAGAAACTCTGAATGTGAAGCCATCAACAACAGCCTAGGCAATCTCAACTACAACAACAACAAAAACAACAACAACGACCACAACAACAATAATAATAAGAAGAATGACCAGAACCCAACTTTTTTTAAAACGGCTAGCTTGAAAGGTACAGACACTATCACAAAATCATCATCATTTGACAAATTATGCGTGCCTTTGTCGGACAATGAGAAGCAGAAACAGCAGCTACAACAGCAGCAACTGCAGCAGCAGCAAAACGCTGAGGCACCATTGATAGTGGTAACAAATTTTCAACCTACACATTCAAGCGTAGATGAGATGGAATCGAACTTGCAACATCAACAACAACAACCACAACAACAACCACAACAACCACAACAACAACTACAACAACCACAACAACAACATACACAACCACAACAACAACCACAACAGCAACAACAACAACAACAACAACAACATGTACAACAACCACAACAGCAGCAACAACAACAACAACAACAACAGTTAGAAGATGGAATACGCCTCGGAAGTAATGGAATTAGTAACTTGTACCTGACACAAGTTTCGATGGGAGATGATGATGTATTCGAGAGCGAATCTGAAACGAGACGAAAAGCCGAAGAGATAAAAAATCTACAGCTAAAGTATGCAAAAAACTACAAAAATCATCTCACAGCTATGAAAAAAGCGAACACAGAAGCGACAAAAACGTCTTTGAAGAAAGAGATTCTTAAAAATCCATTCAAAATTACAAAAGATGAACCACAATTTGGTTCGCAACCGATTTTAACCCAACAACAACAACAGACACCAACGACGACTACGACTCAAAAACGCAATAAATCTCAACCACAACAACCACAGCAGCAGCAGCAACAGCAGCAGCCACAAGAGCCACAACACCACAAATTCAAATCGTTACCGCGACCTACAAAAACGCAAACCAGCAACTGTGAGGTTGTCGCGAGGTTTCAACTGACGAAAAAAATTGAAAAATCTCCAAAAGAAAGGAAGAACAGTAAACATCCAAAATCGCCATTGACGCCATTTTTGTATGGGGCTTCTAGCAACAACAACAACAACAACAACAACAACAACAATAATAACAACAATAACAACAACAATAACAATAGCACTAAACACCACAACGATAGTACTAATAACAACAACATCAACAAAGCTTTCCACAGACCATCTGCCGCTTGCTTAATAAGTTGACCACAATAATTTTAATAATAAATAATAATAATATAATAATAATTATTATTATATTATTATTATTATTTTATTATTAATAAAATTATATTATTATTATTCATGAGTGTTTAAGCTTATCTTTCGTTATGTCTTTGTTATTGAAGTTTATAACCTGACATCGTCTTACGACCTGCCTTCGATCCATATTCTTAATCGTGTTTGTAATCAATCATTTATTTAATTTATCATTTATTCAAGAAAATCATTTATTTGAAAGAAATATACACTAATAATAAAATCTAGTGCAACTAATTACATACATACAATTGTGAACAGAAATTGATGAATATATATAATTCGTACACACACACATTTATACATGAATACACACACATACATACATAAAAACATACAAACAAACATACAAACATACATACATACATACAAACATACATACAAACATACAAACAAACATACACACAATCACTTCCAACATCCTGATAATTTCTTAGCCTCTCTAGACTGCCTGGACAAAGAATTGAAGCCAAGCCTACCCTTGCATTCAAAGACGAGAAGGTCGTTTTGGGCTAGCTCTTCATCATA